AGATCAGCTGGGGCACTTAAAACAGACAAGAGATGCAAATGTAATTAAAAATGTAATCAGATTTAATTTAAAATTGTATTTCATTGCTATTCTTAGCCCGATTTGAGTGAAAAGCATTACAACGCTTTTTCAATTTTTGGACATTTTTCATAATAGGAATAATTTTTCATAATCTGGAAAACGGAGTGAGAGTGTGATCTGAATTTTTGCACACAAGTTATTGGTCTAGACCTGTTTAAAATGGACCATTTATCTCGAAAAACTATTCCCTGTCCCCTTATGTCAAAAACCCTCAATGGAGCCCCTTCAATGCCGAGTGTTTTTGTTTCCTGTTGTATTTTTTTGTAATAAAGCTTTCAGATGTAGAGGGATGTAGAGGGTTAGAATATTTTTCAGTGTGTGTATTAATAGCTGTCACTAGTGGTGTTTCGCTTTATTTTGAGGTATATCATGATTTTGACCAGTCATTTTCTGTTATATGAGTGGGTCTTACCAAGACCACTTTATCTTGAAATACAAGAAAGAAAAAGTAATTTGGGCAGTGATAAAATGTAGGTATCTATATCGATCATTTACAAAAAAATCTTAAAGATATATGTGTAATTGATTGTTATATTCCATGTACATTAATTTAAAAGCAAGAAGTATCTTTAAAAAGATACTCGGCCGAAGTAAAACTGGTTAACATGCAAAATGATGTTATTTCTTACTTTTCAATACAAAACAAAATGTTTGCAATGCTTGCATATCAATGCCATGATAATTATTCCTTGAAGCTACCATTTTGTAAACATTTAAATTAAATCATAGTATAATAATGATTTTTCAAAGTAGGACAACTTCTATGTTAGGTGTCCCTTTTACTTAATTTACGTTTGACTTTATAAATTTTGTAATCATTTACAAATTAACCTAAACGTTGAGGAACTATCCTCATTCCTCTTCATTTTATTTTAGAACTATCCTTAACATTTTATTTAATAGTAGCAAAACTGTCCCTTACATTTTATCTTAGAACTATCCTTAAAGTTTCATTTAAGAATGGTAAGAACTATCCATTACATTTTATTTCAGAATAGTTAGAACTGTCCTACATTTTATTTTAAAATGACCAATGAGATTCACTGATTTCCGTTTATGATTTCAAAATGATCAATGAAAATTCTTCTTATATTCAGACCTTCTCTGTTAATTTTACAGGAAGTCTCACTGATAACAGACGGACTTCGTCCGAATAAGTTTTCCATCGTACCTTGATTATTAAAAAATGAGGCATTATTATGAAATTTTTAAATGTACCTAATGAAAAATGCGGCATCCCTTAGCTCCGGCTATGTCAGTATTTAATCTTCAACTCTTATAAGTATTTGAATAAATGAACCAAAGAGCCAAAAATATAAAACAATGATATGAACTACCAGACAATGCTTCTGTTGAAATTACATCCGATAACATTTTACACAACACAAAAAGAGTACCCTTACTTTATGCCGTAATATGAATATCATCTAATTGTAGACACTTTCGGCGCTATCAAGATATGGAAAATAAATCTCATAATTATGTTGGTAGCAATGTACTATTTTCGTTTGGATGTCCAAATATAACTATTAATTATAAATGATTTCATGTTACACATGATACTATTGTGGCGTATTGTTAATCACAATTTTCAGCCTTATTTATTATTTATAACTGTATTCAATAATTTTAATTAGATACTAACAATTGATTAGTGTACAGGGGTCACTATTTGCGAATGATGGCGATATTTTGTCAATTGGGAATAACCACATTTCCTGAAACAATACTTGCTATATATACTCGAGGACAGAATAATATTCTGTCTCAGATATACTCTAACTGATCAAAAATAATTAACTTTTGATGCAAAGTGTAATTACTACGTGGGGCTAAAGCTTTATTTAATGAAAATGGAATGATTATTTAACGACCGAACTGACCAATAGGGAAACGGCGGACAGAGTGTTAACAATAATAATAAACATAAATGTAAACTCCTCATTAAACTATTCAATAATGGTGAAGAGGTTGTTACTATACTATAGAAAACATTTTATCTTGTAACATAACCGTATTTTTATTTTCAGAAAAATACTTTCTGTTTCCAGAGGAATATATGCAATATCCGAATTACCGCGCGAATAACCAACTAAGTCTCATGGTGGACATAGGGAGACCAGGTGTTTCGATTTTGAAGAACACTTCTATCTTGCTATATACAATCGTATCTGTTCAATGTATTCCAGAAAAGTACTTTCTGTTTTGAGGGGAAGACGTTCTAAGTTCGAATAACCAATTACCTCCTGATAGGTAGTTGGGGATTCGCACGAATAACCAACTACCAACTAGTAGGCAGTTGGTTATTCGAATATCCAACTACCTACTAGCAACCGCCGACCAAATTGACGATCATGATAAACTAGACTTTTATTGTTAGTTTTGACATATTTCTTAAACAATTTAAAATATTAAAGAGTGCTTTAGTATTCATTATGTTTGTATGTACATGTATGTATTAATTGTATGTGTGTGCTTCTGTGTGCAGGTTCGTTCAGGTTCAGTATGTGTGTGTGTGTGTGTGTGTGTGTGTGTGCGTGTGCGTGTGCGTGTGCGTGTGCGTGTGCGTGTTTGTGTGTGTGTGGGTGTGTGTGTGTGAAATAATATATATTTCCCTTTACTTGTTATTTAAAATTTTTATCCTGGCAATGGGACTTGCTCGATATAACAGCTTATATTATATCCATGTTTCAAGTCAGGGCAAAAACTTGATAGCCTTTCCCTAATGTTTATATTTGGAGTCTGAATTCTCATTCTTCTCCAGTACATCAGAAATAAATTTTCTTTATTTATGTTTACAGGGACACAAATAGCCCCATTCCGACTACTTTATGTTTACACGGACACAAATAGCCCCATTCCGACTACTTTATGTTTACACGGACACAAATAGCCCCATTCCCACTACTTTATGTTTACACGGACACAAATAGCCCCATTCCCACTACTTTATGTTTACACGGACACAAATAGCCCCATTCCGACTACTTTATGTTTCAATTAGTTCTATAACAACCGGACATAAAACAGGATAATGAATGTTAAAAAGCAATTTTCTATTTCTACAAACATGTTCCCTGGTACAACATGAAAGCAGACATCCAGAAACATTGCCCGGTTAGAATATACGGTGTATTAATACTTTAAAACATACTTAGCTTTTCATGTCTATGTTTTTTGTGTTTTTTATTTATTTATTTATTTATTTATTTATTTATTTATTTATTTATTCATTCATTTATTTATTTATTTATTTATTTTATCTTTTTTTACCACATAAACAGTTCCAGTGATAGATAAATCTGAACAGAAACACTTAGCGACTGTTATTGAAATTACCAAGACTGTAAGTTATATATACATAGATTTATCATATGCACGTGCCTGTTGTTCTGCGACTCCGTAAATAGAGTATACCGGGCTAGTGTCTGATATAACAAAAGGAATTAGACAAGACTTATAAAATGCTGTCGAGCTTTAAATTTCAAATGAAACAAAAGCCTGTCAAAAACCTCTCGAGTTCATGCCGCGCGCAGAAATATGCCAAGGGTAATACCTATATGAAATAATCCCAAATATTTAAGTCAAATGTAATATTCAAAAAATCTATTCGATTCAAAGTGTATCGAATTTTTTCAAACAAGTAAGAGGTAAAATGTTCCATTTTTTCTTATTTTATTTCAATATGTTTTGATGAGGTGTCCAATAAAGCAAAATTGACCAGGCATGAAATTTATCTACAGAAGTCAATGTATTGACATGATATTAAACGATGTTACACGGCCTTGCATATATTTTGACATGACCTCAGTTGTGTTATAAAGACCCGCAAAATGTTAGCGTCTATAGGCGCGTCAATGAAAGAGTCGTTAATATTTCTTTGGAAAAAAATGTTCTGTTTTAGCTAAATACCCAATATGCCTCTGCATTCTACTATTCTTAGTTTTAAAAAAAAGCGTTTTAATTTTGGTGAAATTTTATAGTATCCAGAAAATATTACTCATTGGCCAATTTCATGAACCACTCTTTTCAATTGTTGCTTTTTGGCAATAAGTACAATTATAGTGGATTAGTATTTTGAATGGAAGTCAAAATACTGCTTTGTTTACATTTTGCTTCTTTTATGACATATTATTTCACATTTATTGCTACTTTTGTCGTATTCAAGTCGGGAGATTAATTGTTGAGCATGAGATTTTATAAGTGTTGTCTACTCTTGAAAACTATCATCAAGTGAAGATGATACTTTATTGACTGATATTTCAAACGTTTAATTTACCGTCACCATGTCTTCGTCAAGTACAATATATATATTATTCGTGAAAAGACATTTCTTTCAATACGAGTAAAAATATTTTGTACGGGCATTAGTCATACATATGTCCTTGGTAACAGTCGCATTTTAGTTCTTTTAGTACTTCGATTAATTATGCCATACGCAAAATTGTTTTATGGCAAAATTTGTGTTTTTGCAAGCGTAAAAAATCTATGCTGTCAATAAGAAGTTCAAAATTGGTTTAAACTTAGATATATAGCTCTATTAGCCCTTTTTAACCATTCATGTTTGCAGAAAAAATTTGTCTTCTTTGTCATTTTAGAACATAAAGATTTTGCGATTAAAAAGAAAATATAGTATTTTAAATCAATCATTATTTTTTTGAAACCATATTCTTTACAAATATGTTTTATACATAATTCTAGACAACTTTCAAATTACAAGAATATGCTCAGTATGAAAATGGTACGTTATCAAACAAAGTTGAAATTATTGTTTAATATTGAGATATTTTATTTCAAAAAGAGTAGGTTTCGAAAACTTATACAGTATCTGTAAATTTGCTATTGTCTTTCAAGATTACTCGGTCGCTATTTAGCAACTAAAGAAAAATCAAACATCAAGGTTTATTTTGATGACGGAAATTCCAATAGACTTTGTTGGTAGGGTATAAAAAGAACGCCGGTGTGATTTCGCTACAGAACGCTCAGAATGGCTCAAGTTAATACAGTGTGGATTTTATTCGGCTTATTCATCCAGATTCAGCTTCTGGTGAGATTTTATTGCAGATACATTTCTCTTCAAAATCTCTTTTTTATGCTTTGAATAGTGTTCATGCTATTTTATTTCCGTTAGATAGTTTTAAAATAGGTTTATATTATTTGTACACATTTTCTTCCAAACTATTTCTTGTTCATATTTTGCCATTGTTAATTTCAGTTTTTTATAATTTCATTAATAAGTGAGTTAAATAAAATCTCAGACTTTTCTGTTACAAACAATACTGTTTTATTTTCTTTCTTTCTTTTTGTTGTTGTTGTTGTTGTTATTTTGTTGTTGTCTTTTGTAAAGAACATTCAAACGAATGACTTGATATATTTATGCTTTATGTTTTTCGTCTTATATTGTTTTGTCTTGTTTTAATCATTTCTTTGTTTTCTGATGAAGTCATGTCAATTTATTGCTGGATTTATTTCTATTTGGAAAAATATTAATACTGTTACCAAAAGGTATATTTTTAAAATATCTATTATACTCAAACTATGTATCTCATTTAAATTTTAAGGAATTAGTTTATTTTTTTCAGTTTCAGAAGAAAAGAAACTTATTTGTAGGCCTAGTGGATTCATATTTTACAAAATATTATAAATCATATTGTAAATCATTTTTTATATAATTTCACCGAGACATTATAAATATATGATATGCCATTATGTTTATATTGACTGCTGAAGAACATTGACATCTGAAATATAAGATGAAAAAACATTGTTATAAATTGAATAAGTTAATAATTTAATTTTAAAGATGTTCTAAAACTTTTTATATAGGTTGATTACCGCTTAAGTCGGTGTAAGTGGCATGATAGTTTTTCACTTATACATTATCTCAAAAAATTATGAACAGACACAAACCGAGTGTGCAATTAAGTCTTAACTTTCTTTATAGCTTTATGTTAATATGAAAAGCTTTAAATTGATAAGTACTGCTTAGTTCAGTTCAATACTCCCGTATCAAATAGTATCATAATGCATTTGCATGCTCGTGAAAGTTTTCTGCAAACTTTGAATATACATGTATCTGTTATTTCATAAATTGCTTTTAAATTATATTATCACATGCTATTTTAACATTAAATTGTAAAATACGGAAATATATTAATCGCAGCTAAAGAAACCGTATTGAACGAGTCAAAATATATTCCTTTATTTAATTTTACCCATGAAATATGGTGTTATATCAGTCAAATATATTTCATATTTTTTTAAAATAAATATGAAATATAAATATGAAAGTGGGCGGAGTCAAAACTCATATTTATTTTAAGGGACTTCTTTCGCCGTTTTGTTTGAAAAATCTGATAAATACAAAACAACTTTTTCTTGAATATTGTTTTGAAAACTATCTAGCATGATAGAAAATGGTCTAACTAAGAAAATTAATCCGAAAACCAATATCTTTAATTCAGTAATTAACGCTGTACAGACGTTTAAAAAGTTGTTTACATGACGTCACAATGTAGCGCCAAACAGCGCGTGCTTACGCATAAATTACTGCGCGCTGTACAATTGCAGTTGGTAGCAAGCAAGGGGGTCCGTTACCATTTTCTTTGATAATGAAATTAAATAAAAAGGTTATTTTTTCGTTTTTTTGTGAATTATGGTATATATTTTCACTCAACATGATAAAATGCCACATATTTTCACTCGCCGTACCGGCTCGTGAAAATATGTGGCATTTTATCATGTTTCGTGAAAATATATTCCATATTTCACGCAAACGAAAAAATATCCTCTTAGTATTATGCCCGTTCAGTGTTTAATTACTTGCTGATTCTATATCCAAATTATATTGAGAAATAAAAGAATTGTATACTCGAATAATGTAGAATGTTGGACGTGTTTAAGTCATACAATATGATGTATCAGAAATTTCTACATACAAAATAAAATCAAACTATAAATACTTCTGTTAAATATTATGTATCATTTCTAAAAAGATAGACATTTTACCATTGACATATTACTAATGGCATGAAAATAATTTACAGATTCTTGTGATGAAATGTAATATTTTAAAACAATACAATCCGCTCATAGTATGTGTGTTTGATTTTATACAAAGACGCACTCCCGTAACATTCTGTAACGATATTTTGAAATTAACCTTAGAGAACTATTCAATTTACATATTCATAAGATCAATCAATCATTTCTTAATGGAATTTTATACAACAATTAAAAGAAATTGAATCTTTGCCATTTTATGTGATTGTCATTTTGTAACACCCCATCCTCTTGTGAACTGAAAATATTTCTATCATTGTCATTTGTAATAAAATAAAATTGCATGAAGAAGAAAACAAAATGAAACTTAATTCGTTTAAAGTGTCTCGGTGGCGATATTAAGCGTTTCTCGTGAAAATAATACAGTATAATTATTCAAATTAAAAAATCCAATGTCTTTAAAATGTTAAGGATGTTTTGAAAATGTGATGCGTAACAGGCGTGTACAGTGGAATGCTGTTTTTTTATAGAGCTGATGTAATGGTATTTGACGAATTATTATATATAGAGCATATATGAGTATATCAATGTATATATGTACCTTGGTGATTTATTTCTTATTTATTTTTTCTACAAAGTTAAGTCAATATGTTTGAGCTGTTAGAAAACTTATTACACTGACAGCATTTTTGTATCTCAGCAAAAGTTAAAATTGATATAATGCTTTTAAATATCTATTACATGTACATTGTATTCGAACAAATCTGCAGCAGATTTTCTAGAATAATTCTCCATTAAAATCGAGTATTTCTCCTTTCATTCACATCTTTAACATAGAAAAAGTATGTTGTTAGAAGTCTTCCTTATATTTGTTTCATTAATATATCGATTAAATTCCAATATTGTTTGTACATGTACGTAGCATCCATTTGTGTCGGGATTGTATGAATATCGGTATTTTTGTCTTTGTTTTCATAATCTATATAAATGATGATACTAATATTTAGTGGTGCTAAGTATCATGTACGTAAGTTAAGTGCTTCTGCAATTTTTGTAGTTTACTATGTGTATATATTGGGTATTGCTTTCACTTTTATGGCGCCAACTAAATTTCAGACCGTATGTAACAGAGACAAGATGGATTGAACTATAATGTCTGCAGGCTAATTGTTGATTTATTTCCTAAATTATTTATGGATAATGTGACAGGCTTTTATTGGTGATGATAATGTCGAAATACAATAGTGATTCAACAAAAATAACAATCAAAATGTCCTGTTATACCACGCAATCATTGACCAATTAATGCATCTAACATATCATATTATTACCACTTACTATTTTTGAAATGTTAATTTCCCATAGGCAAATAGGAATTATTCTTACTGTTCATTCTAGTGCCATCGTGTGATTTTTCATAGTACAAATCTGAAAAATAGAACTCTAAAGAAACCGTGTCCAAAAGGGATATTAAAGTAACCATCCTTCGTAAAATTACTCTACAGTATTTTCGTCAGGATAATATGTTTATTGTTACTCACAAACCTATGTGTTATTTATATAATATTCATGTATTGCTACCTTAAAATGAGAAATAATTTTGTAATACACAAATATGGAGTTCGCGATAATCGTGGCACGGCTGACTACATACTAGTACTACATTTATTATCCAAAAAGTATTATACTATGATCAACTGTGTGCGCTTCGTGAGTAAAAGAGAGAGCATTCAAGATGCCGTGTAGATAAAACTGACTCCAACAGGAGTCAACTGTGAAATAGTTAAGATGATTATAAGTATATATGAAAATGTAAATTGCGAAATAAAATTGTCTTCTTATATGTGTGAAGTGTTCCATGTTGCGTACTGTCTACAACAAAGTGAGACATAATCTATCCTGTTGTTTATATTATTATAGATAATATTACAAATATTTTTAATTTTGACGCAAAGGCCATAACAAATCTTGAACTAGTATCCATGTATCTGATTTTTGATTGTAGTTTATACTGTTTAGACATTATATTAAGTTCTTCACACACTTTAACGACATACCGTAAACTTTTATTTGTGTTGATAATATCAAGTCTACATACCGGTTATGTCTACATTGTTAAAGGCTCTGAAGTTTGGGGTGTTTATAATTTAAAGAAAGTTACACGCAAAATACCTTATTTTTTCATTTGCTAACATTCAAAAAGGTAATTGTTACTGCGTCGCACGTTATATAGACCTGAAAAACACTAGGCAATCTGCTGTACTGAAAATAATGTACTTGTATATCACATTTATCTATGTATTTTCGTGACTTAAATTTTCGTATTTTTAAGAAAGGTAATTTAAAACAATTCGTTGAAACTCATCTATTCCTTTGGCGACTTCCTCTAAAGATAAACAAAATTGATATATTTCACTTTTCATTGTGAAATTGTGAATAGATGAGTCTAAAGATAGCATAGAATATCCATTTTCTTTAAATTCAACAGACTAATCAGAGAGAAATGTCACGGGTAATTTATTTTCCAGTCATAACTATATGTCGTCTGCTTTATGCCGTTACAGTAAATGTCTCTTTCTTTGTATGACTGTTGAATTATTCATTAATCTTAGCTTAAGTGGAGTGAATTAACGTGCAATTGTGTTTTAAAGTCTAATCCTCGGCGCGGAATAATACATCTGATTTCTCGAAGGGACTATTTTCTACCAAAATAAACACATAATAAAATCATATTTGTCAGCGTGGGGATAATAGAAATCAAACTTACAAATAACACAGAAATAAATAAGGGGATGAAAGAATCAATATAGGACACTGATTAATGTTTTCTCTATAGTGACAGGATTAAGACAAACAATGTTTAAACTGATGTAAAAATAACAAAATATGTGAAGTTTATAGTGGTTGATTTGTGCCATGTCGTATTTTCCCTACGCGGGGCGACAGGCGAAAACTCGAAAATACGACAAAGTGACGACTTTGTCGTACTTTGTCTTACTTTCGCTCTGCCGGGCGCTAGGCGAAAACACGATAATAAGACAAAGC